ACACAGAAGATCTAAAACATTTAAAAAATCTCAAGCGTTTATTTTTAAAATGGTAGAGAAAGAATGAATAGCAACAAAAGTAACAATGGGAAAGCTTTAATGCTGCATTTCATCACCATAATATCAAATATATTTATTCATCAGCGTTTGAGTCGTTCACTGGATTTGCATTCTGTAATTGCTTCCTTTTGTTTCTGTCAGAGTTTACCAATCTGGGAGAGAACACAAAAGCCCCCTGTGGAGTTTTCTGGTAAACAATCAAAAGTTTACATTCCATTTTACAACCGAAAATGTGTTGAATGTGTTGCATTTTATTTTGCTTCCTCATAAAAATTTGCAAAATCAGTTTTCTGCAAGAAAGCTTCCTCCTCTGAATCATCTGGACATGACATAGCCACCTGTTAGAAACTCCAAAGTGAACCACTAAATGTTAATGGACAAGAGGCTTACAGGAAACGCTACGTCAGAATTACTTAATAGGAAAAAACACTAACACTCTATGGACTTCTGGTTTCATAGCAGGGACTTGTGAGATAATCTAGAATGAATAATCACTATCAGTCCCTTTACAGCAATATGCTATAAAGGGACTGATAGTGTTTTATATTTCAGTCATGACCACTACAGTTAAAGAAGATGCCATTTCCATCTGCGGTAATTTATAAGAAGCAGCTTAGCCCTGGCACATAATTCAAAAGCCTTCAGTGACATCCAGTGTTGGTCAAGTTACTTGAAAAAAGTAATCAGTAACTAATTACTTCCCCAAAAAAGTAATCCCGTTATTTTACTGATTACTTATTTTCAAAAGTAATTAATTACTTAGTTACTTAGTTACTTTTTAAAAACACGATTTACAACCTGAATAGGTGATAAAGTGATAGATCTGTCAGCCCAATTCTACTTTTTCTGCATAATCCATCATACAAAATGTAATCAAATGGAAAAGTCTCTTTTTTTTTAACTTGTTTTATTAGTTTTAAGCTTTTAACTTTATGCATCAAGCAAAAATGTAATTATATGCACCATTCTCTGACTTGAAGAAATTAGTTTAACATTTAAACCTATTTTCTGCACATTCCAGCACATAAAATAAAATATTTTTTGTTTTTACACTCAGTCTTTCATATAGATGCAAGTAAAACACAGCAGAAAATAAATAAAATCAAAGACTAGCGGTCCTGTTCCATTTTCACCTGTATAGCAGGAGTGGCGTAGTCGAAGGTGTGCTCTGGTGCAGGTGTGCCGCAGCGGTCAGTTGAAGAATCCGCGAGTTTCTCTGTGAATGTCCCATTACATCGTTGCACACTCGGAGCTTGTTTAGGGGGGGGGGTTTCGGTGTAAAAAGAAGTTTTCTTCCCACGCACAACGGACACTAATGTTTTTGTCACTTTTTATGGAATCAAACTCAAAGTAAGGTCAGTACTTCCACGCTTTAAACGCTGCACGCTCATACTCTCAATATCTGATCCATTGTTGATCTGCACACAGCTGTTGTCACAAACGTCGCACTCGCTTACGTCACTGTCATGAGACATTCTCGCAAAAAAAAACTGTTTTAGTAACGCAGTGTTCCTACGACAAAGTAACGGTAATCTAATTACCGTTTTTGCAATAGTAATCCCTTACTTTACTCGTTACTTGAAAAAAGTAATCAGATTACAGCGACATGTTACAAGTAACGCGTTACTGCCCATCTCTGGTGACATCGATCATACACAACTTGAAAAGAGTAGGTGGAGTGGATGAGGGTTGCAAAGCAACTTGCAGATGTGCAGAACTGTAGGCAGGCTTAAAAAATGGGAGATTTTTATTATTGTTGTTATTGTTATTATTAGTGCAAAAACACCAAACATAAATCTTTACTGTTTTTTATGATTTAATTATACTCTGGTTTTTCTAGTATATCTGTTAGAAATGGGGTGCTAAAAAGGAGGTGAGTGAGTGAGTGAGTGAGTCCAATAAGTCCTTAAAAGACAAATTAGTACCCATTAGCAATGACTCTACTAGTAGACTAGTAAGTCTTTCCTATAAGAAAAAAAAAGACATAAAACTGATATTTTATCTACAAAAAATATTTTATTGTTTTACGTGTTAAAGTTTATTCACTCCTTCATATTAAGGACTATCTTAAGAGCGTCCTTTAGATGAATTACAGCCAAATTTTAGTATAATGTCAGAAACATAAAGTGAACAGGAGACTGGTAATTGATTCTGTCCACTCAGAACATATTTGCTGCCATCAATTATCAATATACGTCACTTGTAAATAGACATCTTACCTTCATGCTGTTTAACAAAAAATAAGTTAACTAAAATCATAATGGGTGGTAAGATAAGATCAGATAAGATACGATAAGATAACTTTATTAGTCCCACAAGTGGGAAATTTCAGATCAGATAATTTAAGATAAAAATTATAAAGATTTTTTCTGCTATTACTAAACAGTTTGGATAAATCGTAATGTTTTACCAGCGAGTTGGTTTAATAATAGCAATAATCTTGAAAAGCAGTGATTTACCTGCAGTGAAGGTAAATATACATATTATTTTCCACTATGATTAATAACATTTGCTTGCGAATGAAATATTTTAATTCTATCAACAAAACCGGAGCTTCAACCAGTGCTGATTTTACGGACCCTTTAGTTCATTCATGTTTTCTAACAGGATACATATTTCAGCATAAAATCTCACTTTATTGATGTGAATGCAATATTGTCATACATAGACAGTCAAAAACACAAGAATAAATTATTTGAAAAGGCTGAAATCTGTTCGCTGTTTCTGCAGCTTCTCCCACACATGGCAGTGTCACTGCTCTGTGTGGAGCTATAGCAGATCTGTTCAGTATTATAAAAATAGGCAGGACACTAGCCAGAGAAAAACACATCTCAGTCTGTATGCTCTGAATTCTCTGGTATTTACTGTGTAAAGAGCTGAGAAAAATTATTAATGGAATGACAAAACAGATGAAAACATACTATTTGGAAGAGTACATTTCTGCCTTTATATGACAAAATTGAAATGTACAGTAAGAAAATGTTCTTAATAATTATAATTTTGGATCATGATGGAAATTCTCTTTCTGGAGCGGCAAAACTGCAATGGTAATTTATAAATAGCATGTGCTCTATGCTTTTTCTGCAAATGTGCATTAAATCTAGATTCTTTCCAATAGCCTGCAGGTGGCCATGCCTCTGAGTTGCTGAAAGAAGTATGACTGTATAGACATTGATTTATGACCCAAGTAAAAACGTTCCAAATGAATGCAAGTATTCTTCATTTTAAATTTGCGTTCCCATATAGAGTAAAATGGGCGTTAGGTTGTGTTAGGTTTGAGATACCCTTTGACTGAGTCTGTCAAATCTTCAGTTATATCACCATCTCAAACAGTACCAAGCAGTCCACAAAGCAATTGGTAAAATCATGGTGCCTGTGTCAAGTATTACGCATGCACATATGTGATATGTTTGCTGACAAAGCCAGTGGAAAGAAACTATAGTTCACAATTTTCCAGCAGTTTCAATGTAAGACGATATGTCAATAAATAAAAAAAAAGGAGATGGTGCTGTTCTAAGAGGTTTATGAAAGTAGCTTATTATTAACTAGAATAAAATGACATGAACAAGAAATAGTAAGACTTTGGTCTTAAACAGTCGGTCAGGGTGTTTGTTACTAGCTAGTTGCAACTTAGACTGTCTTTGCAGTTGTTATATAGATATTTTAGTGAAGGAAAATGGCGTGAATATCCAGGCCCGTGCAACATATTATGATCTTAATTTCCATTCAAAGATGTCTCTGACTGATTTCTTTCACTTATTCAAGTTTCATCTCCCTGTGGTGAATTAGCAAGTGTTTGCTCCCTGCTGGCTGTCACCCAGTAACAGCCAGTAACCTCCAGTAGTCGAGGAATAGACAGCTGTGGTGGTGGGGTGTGTCACTAACCAGCAGTGTTGGGGAGTAACGGAATACATGTATTTAAAATACAAAATATGAGTAACTGTATTCCGTTACAGTTACCATTTAAAAAGGTGGTATTTAGAATACGGTTACTTTGTTGAAATAAATGGATTACACTGCGGTAATTTCCTGTTTCATATTGTCACGGGTTGTTTGGGTTTGTTTGACAGCTATGTTCTGTTGTTCCAGGCAGCAGCGCTCTCTCTCTCTGCGACTGTGTGCCTCCTGGGTGAGAGAGAGCCCGACATGAACCCGCCGTATTAGTCGGAGGTCCCTTTACTACAGTTCGGAGCTGCGGACCTTCGGTAATAGTAATAAATCACACAGCAATAGTACATTCACGTAGTTGTAAAAAGCATGATAATATATTAAGTAATCCAAAGTATTTAGAATACGTTACTGTCATTAAGTAACGTAACGAAATACGTTACAGAATACATTTTGGGGCATGTATTCTGTAATCTGTAGTGGAATACATTTTAAAAGTAACCTTCCCAACGCTGCTAACCAGTGTGAGTGATACACTTATATAGGTCACTTTACAAAAACATTTTTTTTACATGTGTGTTATAGTCGGATTAATGCCAATTTCTGTTTGATATCAAGTCAACTGACAAACATTTAATTAAATTACTAGTGGATGTTTTCAGGCTGCTAATATGCCAGAAAGCTTAATTAAATCAAATGATCCTGAGGCTGTTCAAACACATAAAACAGTTCTAATCTCTGTTTTAAACACATATCAAAGTTATAACATCACTACAGGGGTGGGTACAAATTCAGTTCACTCAACTTCCTCTTGTCCCATAATAACCATCAGCCTAGCACCACCAGCTTTGTTAAGGCAAACTTAAAAAATGTGTGCATTTCACTTTGCCTCCTGATCATTTAGCTCCAAGCAGACATCCTGTCTCATCTTTTATAATGCAAACAGCTGGCTGCTTGCAGTACAGCAGTACAAAAAAATACATTGTCAAAAAACAAAACAAAAACAAAAAGTCATAAAAAATGTATATATCAAATAAAAATTATTGAATCAATGCAAGCAATAGCAGGTACAGGACCAAGGACAAATTTTATAATAGAAATCTTATCATTGTCCTTGTGTTGCCATAAATTCCAGTGTAAATGCGCTATTGTGGAGTCTTTTGCAACTGCTTTGCTTTAAAAGGTTTTTGTGGAACTAGATGAGCTCATCTGTATTGTCCTTCTGCCTGCACGGGTGTCCTTTGCTGCTGCGCTCCTTTCAGCATAACTTACAGAGAACCATTCAAACTGCAAGAGGAGGCTATACATTGGTCTCAAGGCCATTCATATCTATAGTGCAGTGTTCTTTGCTCTTCTTCAGATGTCTCGGAGGAATTGGAGGTTTCTTCCTGTCTGAAAGCGGCCGAACGCCCTCCTCCAGTTGTATGAGTTGAGCCACTTCAGGAGGGATGAACTGGTGTTTGACCCCTAAAGGAGGGGGTCGGCAGTTGCCATTGTTGGTGTGGCAGTTCATCACAGGAGGGGTGCTCATTGCTGTTTTGGTCTCACAGATCAAAGGTACCTGTAAATTGGACAATATATGGGACTACTTGAAAAAATCTGGAGTGCTCAGAAGGTTCTCTTTGTTAAGGAAACCAAAGGTTGAAAAGGAAAAATGATCCAAGGCTATTGAAGTGCCACTTCTTGTGGTTGTAGTACATTTTTATTTTTAACAAATACGTTTTTCCAATGGCAAAAATAAATAATGAAATTATTAGATTATTTTTTTCCCATTATTTAAATGTTCATCAATTGTGTGCAATTTTTTTTTTTAGCTCAGTCTCCAAAATCTTTGTATGTTGTGTAAAACGTGGACAAAAGATTTGGAAGCCATTTAAACCCCAATTACCTTCAATAGAAGTATTTTCGAATTATTGTATCAATTTTCTAAACCACTTGTCAAACTCAGGGTGACTGAAGCTGTGATAGGATGAGAGGCGGGACGCGTCCTGCACAGAGCATCAGTCAGTCAACTAACATCAACAACAACTAACAAATCAGATTTCATTATTAGTCACTGCCGTTTTATACTGTTCAATTACAACCCCAATGAAAAAAATAAAAATGTTGAGGCACACAACGATGTGTGCTGCTGGTAAAGTTTCTGGGCTGCCTTTCCTCATAACAGCCACCCCTCAAGATTCTCTCCATATAAAGCAATGCAATATCAGGTACTCTAACATTCAGTCCTTTTACTGAATTCCACATGCTTTCAACTGGTGAAAGGCATGGAGTGTCTGGAGGGGAGGATATATTGCTCTAAGACCTTTACATACCTTTCAGCATTGATGGTGCCTTTCCAGATGCTTTCACATCTGGAAAGGCACCATCAGAATTGGCTATTCTGATCATGTTCACATGCGCCTTCATCTTTGCATGATACAGCTTTAACCTACATTTGTGAATGGCATGTTGAATTGTGTTTAGAGAGTGATTTCTGGAAGTGTTCCTAAGCCTATGCAGTATTAATCATGTCTGTTTTTAATGAAGTGCTGCCCCAGGTCCTGAAAATCATAGTCATCCACTACTCATTTTCAGACCTGTCCCCAGATTCTGAATATTCTGACTTTGAATATTAGATTTTTATTATGTGCTGCAGATGATGAGATAGTCTCACATTTCTACATGCATTCTTTTGCAGATTAGGGAACCTCTGCCCTTCTTTACTTCTGAGAAACTCTCTAAGATTCTCTCTTTATACCCAATGGCACTGATCAGTTGCCAGTTAACCCAATTAGATGCAAAATGTTCCTCCAGCTGTTTCTTTTTAGTGCTGCTCACTTTTCTCAATTTAAATGTTTATGGGAATCTTGTGAATCATTTCATTCTGTCTTATTTGCATTTTATACACCATGTCAACTTTTTGGAACTGAGGTTGTAATTGCTGTTTAAAGGATTGCAAATGATTTGATGAAATTAGGGAGGGGCTAAACCTAAAATTATAGTAAATGCACACTTAAATCTTCAGTTTCTTCTAAATGTCTACTACTTAGCCAAATCTCTAAAAATGTGTGAAACAGAACTAATAACGTTTTCAGCCCCAAGAAGCAAACTATGGGCTCAATCACCACAATTACCCAAGTCCTTTGAAACATATTGTCATTAAAACTCACCCCATCTCCCTCTTTCATGAAGTCTTTTCTGCAGATGTGTGCCATGATGCCTGTGGCCAAAGCATCCCCCATTACATTGACCATGGTGCGAAATCTGTCTCTGTAAAAGAAGAAGAAATTTAAGACATTTTTGATTTGGACCGATAGAAATCCAGTCAGTAGAGCTGTTGTCGGTTTGGATCTTTAATACATTTTAGAAGTGATATGCAACTTACAATGCCCAGTCTACTGCAATGATGAGAGTGATGTCGTCAGTTGGCAGACCAACAGATGTTAGCACTATCACCATGGTGACCAGCCCAGCTTGTGGTATTCCTGCTGCACCTATGCTGGCTGCAGTAGCAGTGATGCTGTTGGAGAGATGGGAGGTGAAGTCAATTAAAGTCAAAAAGCTGATGACAAATATAAAGTGGACGACTTCTTCTGCTGAAACAGTACACGTGTGACAGAAAATATGGCAAAGCAAAACAGCTCTACTTTAAAAACGGCTTCTTTGTCCAAATAAACCCCTAAAGTGACAAAGAATGCTTTCAATTTGCATTCATGCCAACCAGACTCCCTGAGTAACCCAGAGGGTTAGTGTTAGAGAAGAGGAAGCTAGACAAAGGGTGAGATGGAGTCAGATCATCCACTGACCCCTGAAGGGAGCAGCTGAAAGAAGATGTTTCTGTGACAGAGGTATTGGTCCATGACATCAACTGTTGTGGAATTTTAACTTCAAATATAGTCCTGATATTCTCACATACTTTTACTGATTGTTTTTCCCCCCATATGTGGTGGTTCTAATTCATTTTTCCATCTATTTTTGTTCATCAGGATTTGTTGTGTTTAGTTCATTTTTGTGCTGAATGCAAATACTTTAAAGTAAATTAAAGACTCTTCTTGCCTAATTTGTTCTGTGGATTATATCTCAAGGTGAGCCTGGCCCCAAAAGTACACAATAATGTTAATAATGTCTCTAAGGCAACTGTCTAATTGAGAAGCCTCTTATCTGGTGTAAAATGTTGGCACATCGGATATCTGGTGCAGCTCCAGAGTTTGACAAAGAGATGATCCCACAACTCACTACACCACAGTCTGGGGTGAAATGATGAAATGGGAGTTAGGATCAGAAACTCAACCATGATATCACGGGAATATACAGTTTATTGAGGCCACGTGGCTCTTCAGTGATAAGTGATAAGCTGTCGTGTTTATACTACATCTATAAAAGCGTACTCTGGCTAATGACAGCCTTCTTTTGTCCTCCGCTTGTCAATTTTTCTAATTTTATGGAAAAACTGGTTCTCATGCAGAGATTTACAAAGTTTTCAGTTTTCACATGTTAGTTCCTTCTACCACAGATCTGAGCAGAGGAGGCAATGAGACAACACAAGGAGCGAGGAGTCAAGGAAACAGGCATTTGGAGCCTCATTTTAAAGCAATGAAAACCAATTAAACATGATGTATTATACACCTGCGTCATAAATAATTTTATTATAGCCCATATATAGGTGTACACAGGGGTAACAGTGCCCATGGCATTTTTTTTCCCTTTACAGCCACTTTTAATTATTTTCACAACATTACACAATGTGAAAGAGTTGAAGGTAAAGACACTTCAGCAAAAGATACATCTGTGCATCCTTGGTTATAGTTCCTACAGAAGCCTCTTCTCTCTGTCCTCCGTACGTTTTAGAAGTGTAGAAATTAGAGGAATGAGAGAAGCTCAAAGATTCGTTAAACAGGAAGAAAGCATCTGCAGAGCCAGCCTCTTACACTAATACTGAATTTGAGAAAAGTTCTACTTTTCTTTGCTTTTTCTAAAGAATCTCAGAAAGACAGTATCCTCCATTAGCATTTTGTCAACCAGACCATGGGAGCCTGTAGTTCTCTGTAGTACTTGTTTCTTATCACCAGCAGAGTCCACAGGGAAATGAGACACTTGACTGAGAAAATGTATTAGAGTGTTGGTTTACTTCATCTCATTTATTATATTTATTGTCTCAAGTAATGCCAGCAAGCCATTTATTTGTTATTTTTATTTATTTCCATCTGTTATAAGTCCTTGTTTGTTTTCTGTGATTTTTTTTTCCACATCTGTCTTCCAGCAAGCTCCTCTGCATGTTCAGCACCAGTAGATGTTGTTTCCCACACAGAAATAGTGTTTATAAGTAGTGGTTAAAGGGAAACTTATTTTATCTACTTCTTCTTTTTTTGTTTTAATCTTGAAGGCATCAGTATGCATCAATAGATTTGTTGGTAGAAGTCTACATTTACCTTATAAAGCTCCAAAACCAACTATCCAACAGCAATGTTCACTGTGAGCATCATTTTACACATAGTAGTCTGATATGATGGACAATTAAAACTACATGTGTGGCTACTGAGCTTAGTTTTTAGCCCATAGTTTGATGTAGTTGATGAATTACGCTGGAAAAATCTATTTAAAAAGTCCCTTCAGAAGTTGCAGCCTCTCACTTCGGCGAAGCCTGAGGTCTGGCTGTCATTCACACCAGCAGGCACAATAATACATTCATCAGCGTATTCTTTCTCGAGCTTGAGTCTCTGTGATGATCAGCATGATGAGCCATTCTTTTACGTGCATCCATTGCTGTGCTTGAGCAGCTCTCTGCTGCAACAGTGAATCACTGGGATGGGCTTTCAAACATTTTTTCAGCTTCAACACAAAAACATAAAGCAGCATTATAAACAGATTTCAGCTACTGACAACTGTCTAAAATTGAAACTCTTCAACTTGAATTTTATTTTGTGAAAGGAAAATAAGTCCCTGAGAGACAAATCTGATGAACAGGGTGTTGTGGTGATGAGCATTGTGTTGATGTGGCAAAAAAACCCCACTCCTGCATCTTCAGTGTGTTGTGTGCAGGTACACGATTTTACGTATCACAGTTCAGGTGGTTTGTAGCGAATGTTTTTACTCAGAAAACGCAGGATGGTACACTAAATCTCCTCACCACCTCCTGAACAAATTCGTGGTGCACTGCAAGATAAATATCTTCTGTTTTGGACACTGCAAGCCCTTCAATTGAAAGCTGCTGTTCGGTCATTAAGCCTGACACCGAGGTCTAACCACCAGAGATGATCCTTGACATGAAAGGTGGTTAAGTTTGACACAGAAGGTGATGCTTGCTCTGAGTTAGTGCAGCCCTCTGATCAGAACAGGACTTCCAGCGTGATTAATGTAAAGCATATGAATGACTAAAAATATTCAATGATACTTACATGGCTTTGTCAAAATAAATAAAGTAAAATAAAATTACGTTTAAAAAAGGTTTACTGACCTGATGGTGATGATCTGACCGAAGTCCAGCTCATAATTATTAACTTGTGCAATGAATATTGCTGCAACAGCCTCATAGAGAGCGGTGCCGTCCATATTGATGGTTGCACCCACGGGTAGCACGAAACGGATGATGCGACGGTCAATGTGATTGTTCTCTAAGAGGCACTTGAAGGTTATAGGCAAAGTGGCTGAGCTGAGGAAAACGAAGAAAAAGACAGAGAGGACAGCTAATAAAATAAATAAATACGAAGCCTCCTAATTTCTCTCAGGTATGCATGCAAACAAACACAATCTGTTCATTCATGCTGACTAAGAATAACAATGCTTTGCATGAGAGCATGCAGCAGATGCTTTTTACTAATCTGAGTCTAGCAAACACATGCATGCGTGATGAAGCCACTCTGACCCCAAAGGCCTCAGAAGAACTCCGTCTTTGTCAGTCTGCGTATGCAACAAGGAATGATTTGTTTAAAACTGAATAGAAAATAGAATAGAAAACATTAATAGACCATAGCAGTGCTTTTGGAGAGGTTTAACCAGTTTATGTCAAATCACATATTGTTGAGGTGCATTTTCTAAAGTATACTGTTGTGTTTTTCACTTTAGAGCTTCCCTACCTACAACTTGTTTTCATTCGTTTACACACGAGATACAAATGAAGGCAGTCACAGATCTACCACAGCAAACACAATGTCTGCCAAATACATGCAAAAACACTGACATGGTCATCTAAATTAAAACTAAAGCCTGTTTTTGTTATAGAATATGATCTGTCAGCATGCACACATGATACACAAGCATCAGTGGAGCCTGTTTAAAGACACGTGGAATGCTCTTTTACTTTCCCCTCTCTTCCCACACACCAGATGTTTTCTGATCAGCCAACAGCCCTTTGAGATTTTTCACAGTAAAGGTTCCAGTAAAAAGGAAGAAAAGAATAAGTGTTGTTAAGACTCGGGGATGTTTTATTTTGACTCACATATGAGATGATAAAATGAGTTACTGATGTTTTCCTTTTGTAACGCATTCATTCTCTCTATAATAAGTTTCTTTACCTGGAGGAGGTTGCCAGTGCAATGAGCAGGGCTTGCAGGATTCCCCGTATGTAAACAATGGGACTCTTTTTGGTGATGAAGAAGTACATAGCAGGCAGGATAAACAAGCCGTGCAGCACCAAACCAAACACCACAGTGATGGCATAGAAACCGAGCTTCTTCCCCATGGCTGAGGGATCACTCATTTCCAGGATCTTTCCAGCCACCAGGAAAACAATACCAAATGGAAAATACCTGAGGAGATGAAGACAATCAAGTGTCAAAATGACAGTTATAAGTCTTAGATTTTATGAGATGGTGGGAGAAAAGAAGCCATACACAGAGTTTTACACTAAGAAACACCAATGTCCTTTAAAAAAAAAAAATTAGATTAGGGGCATGTGAACATATGCGTGCAGTCTGTCCAACCATCAGCCAGCTGAATGACAACCAGACAAGAAATCTAGACAAGAAGGAGCTAGTTAGTTTTAACAATTGAGCTTTAAAAGTAAGAGTGACAGGATTGTCTAAGACTAAATCCTTTATTTTTTCTTTCTCTGAAAAAACTATTAAATTACAATATACCTGCATACACATAACATAATATACTAGGATAAATGACCAGATTATAATGGTGGAATTAATCCTACTTAATGTGTAGATATTAGATTGACACATTTTTAATATTTAATAATGTGCATATACAGTCCCGATCAAAAGTATAAGACCACTTGAAAAATGGCAAAAAATTATATTTTGCATGGTTGGATCTTAACAAGGTTCCAAATATAGCATAGAGCTTTAACATGCAACAAGAAGGAATGGGAGTGAGACAAAACATTTTTTGAGTATTCAATTCATTGAAAAGAATGCTTAAACTGAAACAGGCTGTTTAACAGCTGATCAAAAGTTTAGTACCACATGCCTTTACAAGCCCAAATCTGTGCAAACTTTGGATTCATTGTCATTTTCTGTCAGGTAGTCACACTGTCATGACATTCTGATGTTGAACTAACAGAGTTGAACATAAGCAGAGTTTCTCACACACAGACAGTCATTTCGAATTTTTTAAATGATTCTGGAAGACCCGCCAAAATTTATCCAGCAATTGGAGGATCCAATTGGCTGTCCATCAAGACACTGGACGATCCTTGACCCAAATTAAGGCCATTATTGGTTCTGACTGCAGCCCCATAGCCATCAGAGGGCATCTGAGACTGAAGGGCTTTAAAAACGGCTTTAAATGCTTCGTCTCCTTGAATGCCACAGAACTGACCGTTTGGATTTTGCAAGAGAGCTCCAATCATGGGACATTGAAAGGTGGAAGAAAGTTTTATTCTCTGATGAGAAAAAAATGTAACCTTAATGGTTCTGATGGTTTCCAACATTACTTGCATGACAAGCAGATCCCACCTGAGATGTTTTCTACGTGCGAGTTTTTTCATTGAAATTATGTTATTTTCACTCTAGTTCTGTTGTTTTCATTCAAATTTGGTTGATTTCTTTCAACTTCTGGTGTTTTCATTCAAATTCCATTCTCTTCATTCTAATCCTGTTTTTTCATTCAAATGTTGTTGTTTCAATTCTAATTCAGTTCTTTTCATTCTAATGCTGTTGTTTTCATTCAAATTTCTGTTTTCATTCAAATTCCGTTCTTGTTATTCTAATTCTGTTGTTTTCGTTCAAAAGCCATTGTTTTCCTTCTAATCCAGTTCTTTTCATTCAAATTCCGTTCTTGTCATTCTAATTCTGTTAATTTAGTTCAAAATCCGTTGTTGTCATTCTAATTCTTTTCTTTTCATTCTAATTCCGTTGTTTTCATCCTAAAACTTTTCTTTTCATTCAAACTCAGTTCTTTTCATTCACATTCTTCATTCTAATCCCCGTGTTTTCATTCAAATTCTATCCTTGTCATTCTAATTCTGTTGTTTTTGTTCAAAATCGGTTCTTTTCATTCTAGTCCAGTTCTTTTCATTCAGATGTTGTTGTTTTCATTCAAATTTTGTTGTTTTCTTTCAAATTCCAGTGCTTTCATTCAACTTCCGTTCTTGTTATTCTAATTCTGCTGTTCTCATTGAAATTCTGTTCTCTTCATTCTAAACCAGTTTTTTCATTCAAATTTTGTTGTTTTCATTCTAATTCAGTTCTTTTCATTCAAATTCCATTGTTTTCATTCTAATTCTGTTGTTTTCATTCTAATTATGTTATTTTCACTCTAGTTTTTGCTGTTTTCATTCAAATTTTGTTGATTTCTTTCAACTTTGGGTGTTTTCATTGAAATTCTGTTTTTGTCATTCTAATTCTGTTATTTTCATTCAAATTCCATTCTCTTCATTCTAATCCTGTTTTTTCATTCAAATTTTGTTGTTTCCATTC